AAAATACGAAGGACGCTGAGCAAGAAATTTAAAGGTAACCTTAACGAAAGAACTGAAGAGGATAGCAGGAGGAAGAATAAGATAAAGAAGAAGTAGAAGATGCCATGGATGGAAGATTTGGCCGCCAAAAGCGAGCTTATGTACTAGAGTATCTCCATCTGTGTGGTACCCATACACGTCTTGCATCAGGTATGTATCCGTCGAATCTATCTGAGCTGAGTAAGCCTTGTAACTTATAATAATAAGTGTTACAGAGAGTATGGGGTAGTTTAAGTTCTATACCTAGCGATGCTGGTGCGCTAGAGTAGTTTCACCACATGGCAAACGAATAAAAATAACAAGACATGGACCAACAGCAAGAAGTTGGTGAAGATAAACCGAAAATAAGAGCAAGAAAAATAAGGCAAGTCCGAGGGAAAAAGCCGCAAGTCCGAGAAGCAAAACCACCGTCAACATTAACAGTCAACAGAGGAGAGCATCAGCGTAGAGCCGATAGCGACTAATGTAATGTAAGATGGGCGATGAGGACTACTCAGACACGACAACCAAAACTAAACGAATCTTACCTTTTACTTCTTAAAGGTCCCTACGTATAAGTATAAGTATAAGTAACTCTGTCCTCGGTCCTCCCAATACAACCTAAAAAGCAAACTCTCAACTTATACCTTTTGCGTTTTTACGTTCACAGATTACCTATACCTATACCTACTTATTCTTTACTACCTGGCGCTGGAGCTAAGTCGATACGACTTACAGACCCGGCTAATGTAAGTTTACTAGTCCTCACGGGTCTGTAGTCCAGACCGTGGCCCCCTGGCTCAAAAGTACTTGGTTACATTCTTCGGCCTCCGGACCAATGAATATTTTTTCTTCACCCAGACAATTCCTAACCTCTAACTACAATTGTACATACTTGCTATTTATTGTCGGTACCTTCTTTTTTTTTCACTTTCTCACCGATTGTTATGCTTCATCTTCTTATTGTTCTTCTTCGGTGGCAATATTTCATCACCGATCGATGATCAAGTCCGTTAGATTAAGGCCCAGCCATTGAAATTAGCCACGGTTCTGTATTTTAAAGTAAAGGGTTGCCGTTCTGAGCGACTGCTTCTCAAACTAAACCCTTAATCACCGGTTGAATGCACCTCCTCGAACATTATTGTATTTATGTACATACTTTTCTGATCATACATACCTCCCGGCATGTATAATATTATTTATATAATACACATATGCTGGATATGCTGGTTGTATATATGATATATAAATCAAGTTAAGAGCCGACTCTTTAGACTCTTTAGACAGTGTGTACTCTGTAAATCCAGTATCCAAAACAGCTTTACTTTTAACTTTAAATACATTATTGATTAATTATCAATACTTGTTTAAATTTAAAGACTCTTTTATGTATTTGCGATGACGTAATTGCAGGACCGTGTCCTCAGTAGTTTTTTTATCACAAGATTGAGATAAGTATGTATATTGGAGGCAAAAGGCGGGTATTAATGGCCCCGACATATTTTCATGCCTCGTCGAGTTGAGAATTCCCAGCAACCACATAGTATTATTTAAATTTATCAAATTTATAATTGTATTATTCTCTTGTATAACAAATTTTAATTTTTCATATTATATTACTCTCCATATTAGAATGACATCACTCGACAATTGAAATTGTACCTTAATAAGTTAAAAAAATGGCCATTCGGCAGCCGAAATGGGAGTAGATTTCATGATGAATAGAAAAAAAAACTACTAGGATAGTATACAAAAAAAAAAAAAAGGTAAAAAAACGGCTGCAACAGTAAAACTGTTTCATTAAACGAACTCTAAAAGGAGTAATATTGAGGCTATTACCACTTCTGAGTAGTGAAAATTGAAGCTTATTAAAAGAGCTTTACGATGCATTTTACAGAATTTTGATATCTTGTATACTTCAGTAATTATACCAAGTTGAAGTAGTAAAAACATCAATTATTAAGATTTTCAAAATTTCGAAATCCTGTCATTTCCAAATTACTCGCAATTAAGCTCATCTTCGAACTTAACCTTGGTCTTGATCGATAGATGAAGCATGTTGAGTTTGAAAAGAATCGGTTATAAATTGAAAACGTTATCGTTATATATATAAATACATACATACATAAACTTTTGAACTATATACATTTTCTGACTCAGCTCGACAAACTGAGTCAGAAAATGACTAAATTTTTCAAAAGTTGTGCCATGAGGACGGCTGCAATAGTTAGATTTTTATGAAATCTACTAAAAATTGGAGTGGTGAGCGCAATCGACAAAAGTGTAGCCAGGTGCTCAATCCAACCGCTTTTTTATTAGTATTAGCATTATTATTGTTATAAATATACTGTGATTATTATGATTATTGTTATTAAGTTATTCATGAATTCAGTTAATCGCGTTTTGCACCTATACAACAGAAAGTACGTCTACTGGTGTCGGTATAGTAGATATAAAATATAATATACCTGGTCTAGCTGGTTTTTAGTTTGGTCTTTTTACTCAATGCGTTGCGTTATAGCGTTATATATTTATATATCATCTTTTTCATGGGTCTGTATTTAAAATAAATACGTATGTATGTGTATGAGTGTAATCGAAGCTAATTTCGCAGAAAAACCGTCCCAGGTAACGAGCATAAATTCTTTATTTGACCACCCATCATTTAGCTTTACCTTATCCCCGATCTCCACCGGCCTATGGTCCGCATAGCAGCATTTAAATCTTATTAATTTCATTTTTTATTTTATTTTTTTTTTTTTTATTTAGTCCACCAGATACTAGACCCGCGGCTGGGTAATACGAGGACACGTCACATGATTTTAAACCAAAAACCCGGCATCCAATATTTTTAATTATCATTCGACAGTCGACAAGTCTAGACTACTTTAAGAGCAAGTAACCTTTTGCGAGCGATATATACATTTGTATGTAAGTCCCAAATTATTATATTAATACCAATCGAGTTTTATTATTATCGTGTATATGTCTACTTGCCTCGATGTATTTTTTTTATGGATATGGATATTAATAATAACATAAAATACGTATATTTGTATCAGTATTTAATACCGAGTTTCTACTTTCATTATAATCAACTTTCACTAGCTTTGATTTATCAATAAATTTTATTTATTATTTATTATTAACTAGTAGCCTTTATTTTTTGTCTCGGAACTATTTTTTAAAATTTAAATAGAATAGTTTGTAAATATTGTCAAGAAATCCATTAAAGAGAAATATTAATAATATCTTTTAAAAATACTCTCCCCTAAAATTCTTGTATTATCCAAAAACCTGTTCAATATTTTAGGTATGCACCCGAGATATATATATATATATATATATACTGTAAAATATATATTTATGTGCTACATTATGTAGCTTAAGTGAAGTCGAGGTAAAGACTATGACGAGATGACTGGCTCGGTAGAAAGGACCAGGATCATAAGGATCAGGTCAGTTAAACTTAAAAGATTAAAAAAAAAAAAAAAATTACTGGTCCTGAGAAATCACAAAATTCAATTCGAGCTGTCATCTTGTGAAAGCTATCGCACTAAATATCTGTTAAATAAAATATAAAATAATAAAAAAAATAAAAATTCACCCATCGACTACAATACTTAGACAATATGTAAATAAATGAAAATAAAAATGATCAAACTGCACTCAAGTATGAAATAAAATTAAAGTTAAACTTCATTATCCCTCATCAGACCGGTTTTGCGCATCACATCGGATACCTTTTTTTTTTTATCCTCATTTCACAAGTGCTGAGTTTCAAGAATAAACCTATACTTTTAAATTCTTTGTTCGTCACTGGTTTTATTTAAAACAACACACATACGCACACATTGATACACACCGACGTTACCCAGCACAGACTAAGAATAAATAAATACATGCTAAATACATGCGAACAAAAAAATAAACTTGCAATTTGATCATGTCTCATGTATCATTAAATAATCCCCGCAGCAGCTCATTAGTTACTTTTACCATCAACAAAATAAATTAGCTTTAATTAAACACCCTCAAGATTCTAAATGAAACCCTAAAATAAATAAAAAAAAATTTTTTAAGTAATAAAAATTCAATACAATTAAATTATTAGTCACAAATTCTACGAATTGAAATAAAATAAAAGGAATAATAATTCGTAAAATAAATGACTTATGGGCGTTTCTCCATTCTCTTTTCACATATATATATAAATATATAATATAATAATATAATAGCAATTCTGTAAATTTGCCCGAGGGTTTCGTTTTAAATTTTTAAAAGTTTATTTTTAGGCGCAGGTGCAAGTACGCCAAGATCAACTAAGCCCATGTATACGCAATATAATATATATAGTACTCTTTTTGACGATTAGCCATGTTCGTGTCTCTTGCTCTTGCTCCTATCCGCCTGAACAGCACTTAGAGCGAACTGGAGGATTCTAGGAACCAGGTAAACTATTTCAGCGGCTTGCAAGAATGAAAAACAAAGAGAATGAGATAAAAGTAACAAAAAACGTTCTTAACCTTGGCAATAGTGGATAACACTCAAGTAGATTAAATAGCAGACGTCAAGGTGCAGTCTGCTCTCATACATTTACGTCTATATATATTTATAAGGATGTATGTATTGATATACATCCACGTATAAATATATAGGAATATAAAAAAGATGGAAGTAAAGCAGGAAAAAAGAAAAAAAAGATGATAAAGGGCACGTGCGAGAGAGGAAACCCGCTGGCCGTTCTTCCGTCGACGAACAGACGAAGAACCAATTCTGTCCCTTTGCTCCACTGCTCTGGTGGATAGGAGCTACCAGCCAGCAGAGCAGGCGCACACCTCCAATGCTCCATCAAGTTTATACACTGACCTACATTCTACACTACACAAACCGGGTCTTTTTCTTCTCAATCTAAACCGTTGGACGTATATCAAGCCGCAAACTCTTGCATTAGCAAAAACTAGCCCTCCAATTAAACAAAATTAAATTAAATTAAATTAAAATATATACAAATGTCTAATATAAATAAATAAATATAAATTAAGAAGAAGATGATGATAATGATGATGATGATGATAGTGATGGTAAAAACTCACCGGATTATTGGTATGAGTGGAAGACGCAGTAGCAGCGGTAGCACTGTGCTCATAATCGTAATCAGCGTCGCGATCTCTGTCTCTGTGTTGTCTCCTGGGCAGGTGCTCGTCAATCAGCGGTCTGTGGTCCCCAGATGGGGCAGAAACGGCGCCGCGGTCCCTTATATCGCCACGTTGTTCCCGAAAATCGCGTTCTCTAAAGTCCCGTTCAGTGATCCGGTTGGACTGCCTAGACATTGCCGGCTGCTTCTCCTCCGCCTCCACTTCCAGGTGCTCCCCCGGGTGGAATTTTTCTTTCTCCGCGTGATCTTCCTGGTACTCGTCGAGGAGTTCCTCGTCTTCTTCCTCTTCCTCGTCGTCGGAGTCGAGAAGCAGCCGTTCGGTACCAAAACTACTACCGCCGCCAGCTCCGTGTCTTAGTCGTTCCGGGGGATGACGACGTAGGTCACTCCATCCTCCACTGACCTCGTCGTCACCCGGACTCCCGGCCAGGCCGCGGGCTGAAGGCACCACACCCGGCAACCCTCTGCTCACAATCGACGTCCTTCCGACACCAACACTGACGACACCCACCCGGTCTGATGAATATGGTATATCGATGAACTCGTTTGATCGTGATGACGAGGGTGAGTCCAATACATCACAGCGGTAGTCACCGTGTCTCGATCCCGACGATGATGATATTACCCCGAACACTCCCTCCTCTGATGGACCATAACCTCCTTGAACACCTGCTAAAGAGCTGACAGGTGATTCTGCAAACACCACGACACCTCGTCGTCCTCCTGGTCCACCTCCAGCACTTCTTACGCCACCGCTCACGCGGGGACGTTCTTCTTCTCGTCTACGCGTCACCACTTAGTTTTTCAAACACTTTTATTATTTATTTATTAATTTTAATAATTGTTCATTATTTTTCATAACAATAACTCACCAACATCAGCTTCTTCAAACTGTCATCTGCTAAAACACCTCAAGTACTAATGCGGTGATGATGACAATTCAGGATACAAAACTCACTTGTGACACTTGTTTTTATAAAAAAGCAGGACACAGCGGATACTGCCACAATTGACTGATGTATAAAAATGTATGTAAGCAATGTAATCGTGCGCAGAGACGTTATAATATTGTAAGGTTAGCTTGTACTAGTTGTCCTCAAATGTAGGGCTGTGGGTCGTGTTAGCTCAACACCACCCACTTCACCTCGTGCCTTTACTTGTATACGTTGTCCTCAATATATATATATATATATATATATATATATATATATAGAGCCCTACTGGTTGTTGGTATCAATGTATCAATGTATATAGATGTAGGTGTGTATGTACGACATAGGATGTCTAAGTTGTGTGCTCTGGCTCAGCTGCGCCAACAGCTACTGCAGGGCAATGCGACGATATCACTATTTTTTGACACTCGACATTCATTTACCTAATAATTTATTATAATATAGTTAATATTCATTTATTTATTGTCCTAGTTAGTCATTATTATTAATAATTATTATTATTTTATATTTTATGCATCAACTCACCACTGTTCACCTTGAGTTTTTAATATTATCTCGCGAATCTAATTTTATTATTATTATTCATTATTAATTATTACCATTATAATTAATATATACGTATCACGTACATTTAATTATATTTAATTAACCGTTAAATCAGTAATAATAATAATAATAACAACAATAACAATTATTATAATTTAAGGAAAAAATAATATATGATCTTCACCGTTAATAATTATCAACACGATATCCCGCCATTTTGTTTTCTTATACTTTAATTTATAATTTATCTATAAAATTAAGTTATTATTTATTGTGAATAATAATTACTTGGATTGTTGTAAGCCGAGTACACACTTGTCACTTGAAATAAAAAAAAAAACAACAGAATTTACTTTATCATTATCTCACGAATTGAAATAACACAGCCGGTAATGTTGATCGTGTTTTGACAAATCCTTACCTACGTAAAAAAATATATTTGTATTTATTGAAATAAACAATTGTTAGTTTTATTGTTGTTGTTATTATTGTTACTACTAATGTTAATATTAATAATAATGCAGTTATTTATATTACGAATTGTTTATGAGTGACGTTAAAACAAGTACATTGAATAGGATGTCGTCGTGGTCGTTTGCGTTTGCGTTAACGTTATTTTTCCCCGATTATGATAGTGGATGATATGGAAGAAGGCTCGTATGGGGATGGTTTCACCCGGTTCGCGTACCCTCGGTTTCCCTCGGCGCACTCCGTTAATAATCGCGGCTTTTCGCTAGCTGTCAGGCCCGTGTGACGTCATACATGTAATACGCGGACCCGGTGGTCGCGTCTATCGATCCTGAGGCTAGCGCATGCGAGTATGCACCACGACAAATTTATATACGCCATTACATTATTATTATTATTATTATTATTATTATTATTATTGTTGTGTACAACCCTTTTTTCTTATAAATTAAGTTATTTTTTTTTTTATTTTTTAATTGCGCTTTTTCTGGGAGTGAAAATTCTGGAGGTTTGTTAATAAATGTGAGTATATAAAAATATATATAATAATAATTGTAATGATTAATATTTAATCAATATTTCAGCACAGAATTAAAAAAGAAGAAATTTTAGTTTTTGGCGGGAAATTCAAAATTAAAAAATTGAAAATTAAAAAAAAAAACATTAAAGGTAATTTTATTTATTAAAATAAGTATTAATTAAGTGACAATAATTAAATTGCATAATAATTATTAGATTATGTATGTTTAATTTTTTTTTTTTGTATATTTTAATTGTTTTTATAGAACTAAATTTTTTTTTTCTGTTTTTAGTATCATAAGAAGAAATAGTAAATTAATGAAGCGCGTTGTAATGGAAATGCGTATGTATGTGTGATAAAAGCCGAAAGTAAAAGTGAATATGTGAGTGCAAAGCAAAAGAGTGAGGTAAGAGAAGGAAGTACTGGATGTTGAGGATGTAAAGGGGAAAAAATAATCCAAAGCCTAGCCGAAACGGCTAGAACAAGATAAAGAGCATCCAGCAGCAAACACACACATTTAGTTTTAGAGAAGTAGAGAGCGAGAGAAGAAACAAGTAAAGTCTTATAGTAGTTTGGTCTTTCGCGCTGGTGCTTTTGTGTGAGTATCAGTGCGAGTACAATATATAATAATATACAGATAGAAGAGTAAGAGCAAGAGGTTGCGAGTATGAAGAGGGGATGTCTACGGTGTGTACCAGCGGGGTGGTAAAGAGAGGGGAGTAGTTGTACCGAGTAGTATTGAAGAGTGAAGAGTATAAGTGTAGTACGTATCAAGAGGGGGCAACGAGACTACAGAAGAAGGGAGCGAAGCTGTAGCCGCCGAACGGTCGAAAGCGCATACCATCCCATAATTCGGTGCGCCGCCCCGCAATCAGGTTCGTGTACGTTCTCTTTATATGTTTTTTATAATATATATATTGAGCATCATACTCATTCAATTATGGCTGTGAATCTTTGTACTAGGTAGTCCTAACTTGAAATTAAAAAAAAAAATTTTTTTGATTTTGGTAACTGTCATTTTTAAATTATTTCTTCAATTAAAATAAAAATATATATTTTAATTTATTTATTAGTGGCTGTGTACCGGTTTCTTAGCTCGACTGTGCAAGTGTTAATTTTTAAATAATTTACTAGATTATTTTTTTTATTAATTTTCGTGTAAATCCCGTGACTTTTTACTTATACTTGTAAATTTAAATTTTATTTTTTTTAGTATTGAAAAGCTGTGAATTGTGCTGTGATTTGTTTTGATTATTTTCCAAGGAGATGATTGCAATTCGTAATTTTACCAAGCAATTGTATGAATGCACTGTATGAATGGTATCGAGCAAATGTTAAAAAGTGGATTTTAAAAAATTTTGGTAATGTTTTTTTATTATTTCTTCATTATTAATAATTAACACATTAATATTAAAAAAATAATAATTAACGTGTTTTTTATTTTTAGTTGTATTAATGAGTTGCTTGAATGCTAATTAAGTTTAATCGCAAGGCCGAGTGTTCGTTAAAGTTAATTGTTTCATCGAGAAGAGAGTAAACGTTAATTGCAATGTCCTTGTCTGGAGAAATGAATTTTTTGTTAATTACTTTTGAGTCGTGATCTAATTAATATTATTATCATCATCATACTATACGAACAATGATGATTAAAATAATAATTAGTGGTATCAACTAATATTGGGTATGGTATTAATAAATTTATTTATTATTAATGTACGTATGTAACGCAATTACAGCTACAGACAGTGATGCGGCGTTCGATATGTACTAATTTAAAAACTAAAATTTATTTCGTTTAATATTATTATTAAGTTTGATTGTTGTTGCGTACTGGTGATTCTGGTGCTTCTGTAGCTTCTGCTGCTGCCGCTTGTACTCTTCTATTTTTCATTCTTTCCTTTTTCGTTCGGTGGATATAATACTGGACACACACGACCTTGGACGCAAACTTGTTCACTGCCAGTCCGACCTATAACACTCTACAACTCTATACATTTTACCAACATACATTTACACATCCATAAATACCGGCTATGTTACATTACATAGGCATTCGACATACAACCGCTAATACGCTCAATGTAAATCCGTGCGTAGGAACGGAATAAATAAAAAAATACAAAAAACAACTTAACAATATAAATATAAATATAAATAATTCTATATTTATCAACGACAATCAGGTTAGTTTTTAATTTCCAGCTAATTTTTTCCGCGAATCAATTCTTCTTAGAATTAATCTACCAATTAAATATAATTATCACTTATTTTAAAGTAAATAGAATAATAGAGACTAATTTTTTTTATTACCGTAATTATTTTTTATATTAATTATATTTTAAATATTTTTTAGGTAAATTATATTGTAGTGCAAGTTTTAAGGAAGAAAGGGCTCGGCATTTTTTGTTAACGACAGCAAATTCGTTCAACTGTAGAATGTATACCCTATTCGTCATATCGCGTGTGACGTGTGTGATCAATAAATCCGGCGCGGGCAAGCCAAACAACGCAACCAAACCTTTTTATATACATATATACATAAGATCTGGCTACTCACGTGCGCACGTGCTACACTACATTAGTACTCATACTCATACTTATGCCAGTCTTCAATACAACAATACTCTTCCTACTATTATATATATATATATATATATATATATATATATATATATTTGTTACATTGCTGGTGGCTGCTACTGCTCTGCTTCTTCTTCGGTGAAATAAAACACGCACGCCACTTCTCGTCTCTTCTGTAACATTCTATTGTGTATGATATAACTCTCTAACTACTGTACGTACTGCTTCTTCTCTGCTTTCCTGTTACTTGCTCTGAGTACAAGCGGGTGTTGATCTTATTTGTCACTCAACAACAATTTTTTTTTTTTTTTTTTTTTTAAATAATAATAATTAATTAATCAATTATTATTGATAATAATAATAACAATAATTGTTATTGCTATTATTACATATTACGTTCTAAAATAATTGTTATCCAACGTTTTATCACGCGTATCAATAAATCAATCGTGAGTAAATTTGATTTGTAATTTTTTCCACCAATAGATTTCCACGGTTTGATAAAACAAAATGTTAAAAAAAATAAAAAGAATTTTATATATTATTAAATTGATAATAATTTAATTCAAACATATTGTTATCTTAATTGTATAAAACCGTGGAAATATTTCAATCACAAATTCGTTTTTTTTCGTCTATCTACTCATACTTCCCGTTATGAATTTTTTTGATAACGTATAATCAATGTCCGTATTTTAATTTATAAATAATGAGATTTTATTTAAAAACTATTATAAAATGTCAGAAAAATTTAATTAATTATTTTTTAATGGACGTTGGATAACAAAAAAAATAAAAAGGTTAATAATAAAATCCGATTTAAAAGTTTACTAGACATATTACGCCATTCTGTTCTATTCTTCTTTTCTCGTAGGTTTTATTTTACTGGCTCTCGTTATTTGATCGATAAATTCGTCTGAAATTTAAACGTTTGTATGTTTCTAATACAATATACTCCGTACGAATGTCTTTTTGTCACGTAATTCATTGTTAATACATACTCTGATTGTACTTTTTTATTGTTATTTATTTATTTATTACTTTTAGTCGATACCGAAAATATGAAATCGATAACGTGATATTAAATAAATAACAGTACTCTAATCCGGTAATATTTTCTTATCAAATCATATTGCGGCTCAAACTCTATTCGATGATATATCTTTTTATTTTTCAGAGTAAAATAAATTTTATAATAATTAGTGGGATGAAAAAAAAAAAAAAAAATTTCAAGAGTAAGATAAATAATTAAAAGATAGAATAATTTTTTTTTTCAACCCAGGGTAAATATTTAGAAATGAAATAAAAAACGTAATGCAATGGCGGCTTTTTAACTCCCTTCGCAAAGAGAGTAGGTACGTGGTATAAACCGAGCATTCTTTATGTCAGGCAGGAAATTAGGGACGAAATTTAAGTAATGTAAGGGACGAAGGACCGTAGATTGAGTGAGTAAGTAATATAACTGAGTGAATGAGTAGATGAGAAAGATAAAGCACAGCAAGAATAAATACATAGATATACCGTACAGATGTACAGCATTATAAGTATACAAGTATGAGTAAAAAGGACCATTCGTTTTACAAGCTAAAGCGCAATATGTGCTACACCATCTTGCAGGCACAACATTTTTCAGTATTTCATCTTTACTTTAAAAAAATAAAGTACACAAAAAAAAATTCCATGGAATTTCGGGCCCCCGTGGACCCGTAATATGAGTATTTTTTTTTTACATTCTTCTGTTTGTATTTACCAGGCGCTTTAAAATAATTTTAATTTTAATCTTCTTAAGGTTCTTTATAGATAATAATTATTTTGAGAAAAAAAAAAAACTAATAATAATTTTTTATTTTTTGTTTCAGTAAAAGACAAAGATCTCAGGCGGCGGCGGAATATTTTTATCAAGACTGAAGAACAATTTAGCTTTTGAGTTATAAAATTATTATTTTTTAAATTTATTTAACCAATTAAAAAACTGGGCAAAAGACATTTTTTACAAGACTTAGATATGAAATTTTTGTTGAAAAATTCAGGTAAATATTTTTATTTATTATTAATATTATTATTTTTTAATTTACATCATTGATTTTATTTTTTTAATTTTTTTCAGCAAGTGTTTAAACGCGTAGAAAGTGATTAGAGTGAAGAGCAGAAAAAATATATAGAATAAAAAAGTATACTGAGTAAAAAAAAGTATATACGAAAATAAAATAAAATAAATAAGAAAAAAAGTGGTATTTGTAGTTGAAGTGAGGTGCCAGTGCGCTTACAATAGCACCTTTGGTACCCTCGGCCGTGGGTCCCGAGGGGGTGGACGCCATGGCGGCCTCTTCGTCGTCCTCAAACAGCGAGCAACAGTACTCGCTCAGATGGAATGACTTCCATTCGAGCATACTCAGCTCATTTCGGCATTTACGTGATGAAGAGGATTTTGTTGACGTTACACTCGCCTGCGATAGTAACAGTTTCACTGCACACAAAGTTGTATTGTCTGCTTGCAGCCCCTACTTCCGAAGACTTTTAAAGGTTCGTATTTTTATTCAACCACTAATTATTTATACCCAACTAAAATATTATAATTACATACATAATCATAATTATAATTAATAACTATATATATATATACTCTTGCCATTAATTTAAATTAATTACTCGGTGCTCCGAAATAAAATATAAATATAATTATCTTTAGTCGAAAATCGTTGGCACGTGAATTAAAAAATAATCAATGTACGTGCTCGGTATGAATTTTTAATTTACGTGTCAAGTACACTTTTTAATTTATAATTAAAAAAAAAAATGACTACATCATTAAAAATAATAATTATTTTTATTTTTATCAATTATACTGTCTGCAATTTTTTATTAATGAACAACATACTCGTCAAGTTGAATTAATAATAATTTTATGATATACTAGAATTTGAATTTACGCGCGCAAGCGCGCGCTTTGACTATAGAGTTTGCATATATTTTCATGCTTATGATATATTCAACCAATCACGTTACGAATAGTTTGATGCCACATACATTTCATCTCAATTTTATATTAGGACTAGAATTTAATTTTCGCGCGCAAGCGCACGCCTCATATTTATTGTCATGATGTATTTATGTGTCGTTTATGTATATTATATTAACTTTCAACCAATCAGAATGAGAATATTTATTTTTCGACCAATCACATCACGAATAAATTGGTTTCACATACATTTCATCTCAATTTTATATTAGGAAATATGGGATTAAAGGCTTGTTTACACTAACGATAGCCTTACAATCAGCATGACGCGAAATTTGAAATTTCCTACTACGCTGACTATTGCATTAGAAGATATAAATACATATATTGACATAATGCATAGTAGTGTATTTAGTTGACGTTTGAATAAGGTCCGTTGAACAATAGACGCATCATCAAATATATTTCTGTTAGTCTAAAGATTTTTAAGTAAAGATGGGTCGTATTGTCGTGTTTACCACAATGTCAATTTTAACACAACATATCAAAAAAATTATGCCAAAACTAGATTTAATTTATATTAATCCAGGTAAATTAAAAATAACACTTTTTATTAATAAATAAATTTTTCAAGGTCAAAATTGAGTATCACTTCGATTTTCTTTATGCTTATCAAATTTTTCTTGTTAGTGTACTTTTATTTGATTTCTCTCTTCTTCATAATAAATGATAAGATTGTGTTATGATGATTAATTTTTTTTATCATTACAAATTTTATTTAGAGAAAAATAAAATTATTTAATATGTGTGGGTTAGAAAAACATTAGCTTCTATTTCAAATTTAATGGTAAAAATAAAAAACAATATTTATAACCATCGTAACTAAATGCGTGGTAAATTAATCCAAGATAATGGAGAGTGGCGTGTGTTAGTAATGCACGCGCTTTTAAATTTTCCTCAGTATGATCTCCGCCTAAAAATAAACCATTATTTTTTTTTTTTTTTTTATACATATATATTTTAATGTTATTTTTTTTTCTTCATTCCCTCTTTACGCCATACACTATTAGTGTGAATAAATATATGAGACGCGTATTAATGGATAGTAAGAATAACGATTTATAAAAAAAAATGTATAAATACATAAGCATTAGTATAAATGTAAATATTTGAGTGTGTAAGTGCGATAGTGAAGGGAAATATAAAATAAAAAAGGGACCGTATAATATTATTTTTTAAATTGTATGCGTAATATATATATATATATATATACTTACATGTGAATTTTTTTTTAAATTCAATCTCATCTACACGACACTGTTACTATATATGTTACGATGTAATTCAAGAATATATTCAACTACTATCCAATCTCGACGCGGAAAAAAAAATCAAATACTCGACGACAGTTGAGATTAATAAAAAAGTTATTTAAATAAAACCGTTGAAATAATTTCTTTTGTTAGAATTATTTAATTAGTATTTTATTTTTAAGAATTAACTTCAATATAAAATATATTAAAATTTAAATATTTAATTTACATATTTAATTCTATTTAAATAAATAATAATAATGATATCGGGGAATATAAATGATAATTAAAAACATTAGATCGTAAAGTTTAATGTCATGCATTAAATATATTTTTCTCAGTGAATTTAAATTGAATTTTCAATGTAATGAAATTAACTTTAAAGTTAAAAATTTATAATTAAAGTATAGTATAAAGTAAAGTATAATATTATGTGGTAAATAATTTATAAGTAAACTCATAAATAAATAACAATAATAAATAATAAATGTAATATTAAGTAGAAAAAAATAGAATGATATTTATATTTTATTTCTTCATTTTTAATAATAAACATATATATGTAAATAAATGTATATATTGTACATTTGTATGGAATGTCAGTGAATGATGGTGTTGGCGCGTGTACTGACTTACCAAGTCACACATTATGCTGTGCGTATTTTTATCAACGGAAGTGCGTTGTTGCTCGTCGTCGCACATTCCCGCGACACCGTCTATATAATACACACATATATAAATATACATATTAAAGATTAAAGTATATAAGAGAAGAGTACTCTTAGCAAGTTTCATATTTACATTAGTCAAATATACATTTATTATTATATATCAAGTTCATTCATGAATTTTATTTACTCCGGCTCCGATTAAAATAAGCTTTGCTAAAAAAACGTTATTTAACTTGATAATAAATAAGAATTACGTGCGTTAATTTTTATTTTATTTTATTTAATTAAAAATGTATAAATAAATCCAGATAGACAAAAAAAGAAGTAACGGCTTAAATTGTCTGGTCTTATAACCGGATTAGAAACCATGTAGTCGTGTTTTATTTACACTTTAGTTGGGGTGCTTCATAATACTTAGTTTATTTTCGTTAATAATATATATCTTTTTCATTTAATTATTTATAAGATGTATGTACTTAGTACTGAGAAGTGTAAAAGAATTTTTTTTCATTTTTTTTCTCATTACAATGCAGAATAAACGCCTTCGCAACATATATACCTACACGTATTTGCAATTACACGACGTGTTAAGTTAAGAGTAAACGTGCAATCACATTACTGGTGGGCTGACTCGAAAATAAAATTTTTAAAAGCACATTCACGCATAATTACAACATTTAAATTATTATTATTAACAATACTGTAAAAATTACATTTAATATTTATGATATTCAAAATTAAAATTGAAAATGTGTCTAAAGGATAAGAGATAGCGAAAAATCACAAGAAACCTTTTTTGTAGGAAATTATATTTTCTATAAAAAAACATTACTTTACTTTTTTTTGTATCTTTAATATTTCCCCTCGAATTTAAAAATTTCTTCAATAAAAATTTTAACTTAAATAATTTAACAATTACTGATGAATAAATTTATTTTTTAGGCAAATCCATGTCAGCATCCAATAGTTATTCTCAGGGACGTTGCGTCGTCAGACATGGAGTCATTATTAAGGTTCATGTATCACGGAGAAGTCCACGTAGGTCAGGAACAACTAGCGGCCTTTCTCAAAACCGCTCAGATGCTTCAAGTAAGAGGACTTGCGGACGTTAAAAGCAGCACCGCAGGAGCTAAAATTCCATCTGGATCTGAGGCGCGAGATCACACGGAATCACCGGTAGTTATATATATATATATTTATGCTTCATCATTCATTTTTATACGGTCTTTATTATTGAAGCTAAAAAATATATATTATAATCAAAATTAAACTTTAAACTTTAATCCTTAGTTAATAATTTTTGTTGATTTGGTAAAAATAAATATTTATAATTATTGATATTGTCTGTCTAGGTGACGTCGAGGAACACGTGGCATGACCGAGGTGATCCAAGTGACAGCGGTCTAAGTCCACCACCAGAAAAAAGGTCCAAAAGTTATTCACCTCCAGTGGGAAATCACCTCGAGCAGCTGAAAGGCGCCGCTGCTGATCTCCAGGAATCGCTTTTAGGACAGGCTCTTGAAGGGGGACCTACGATACACACACCGAATAATGATATTAAGGTATAATATATATATATATATATTTTATTACGGTATCGATGTTGTAAACATTGGTAATAAATTTGTTTTTAATGGATTTAGGCTCAATCAACTGGCGAAGATTCAAATTCCGCGTCTGATAATGACGAAGAAATGTCGAATAACGACAGTATTCTCAATTCAGTCAAGGCCGAACCCAATGACATTCTCAATGACTCTCTGGAACATCATCGTGGCACATTCCCCGCGGCGCTTTTGGGACTTCAAGGTAATTTATCACACTCTTAAATATATGTACATATATCATATGACTAATCATTAATAATAATAACCACTTATTTAACTCCATTCCCATTCTAAAATGCTCCACCTATTCATAAATGTATGTATGTATTATCTATATCTATATACACATTTTAATATTTATTATTTACATTTATTACAGGATTAATGCCTGGACCTTCCGGAATACACGCTGCGAATCAGGATCCAAATTACGGTAAGTCTTACTTTAAAATAATAAATAATAATTATTATTAATACTAAATAACAATGATAAACTATCAAAGTCCAGGCAAGATGTACGATTATAATTAATCCGCAGTCCTTAAAAGTATTCCCTAAAAATTTTAATTATTATTAACTCAGAAAGTAAATAACGTAAATTCGATTTCTGTTACGTATGCATGTAACTCTCGTACCTCTCATCAATTCCATTCCTCTCACTGTCATCCATTATATCACAATCATATTAAAGTTTAATAAAAATAAATAAGTAATTATTAATGTGGTGAGTAAATCGAGAGTCGTGCTCAAAATTTTTTTATTAAAGAAAGATAATGAGAAAAAAAATATATCAATCAGACTATTACATTGTAAATTTATTATTATATATAAATAAAGAGTGTCACAAGGAAGATAAGTATCAGGAAATAAAATTATTAGTGAGACAGCTTCGGAATTGGCTCGACCGTCTTGGAAGATAAAAATATTAAAAAAAAAAAAAAAAAAATCAAAGTATATTAAATGAAATTAAAAAGTAATAAAAGGTGTTGCTAAAGTGGTAGAAGGGTTGTATATATAAATAAAAATCTAAAAATAAAATCTAACGCATTGATGAAAAATGGGAAGGGAAAAATAGTGTATAAGGAATCATTGAAAGGGGTGACCAGAAGGACTGAAAATTGCCTGGTGGTTCCAGGGCGTTGGCAGCCCTCGAGAGAAGACTGTATGGACTCGAGTAGAGGCTCGTCATCCTGGATTCCTCCTGGTGGCGCTGGCGCTGGACCCGCAACTGGTACCGTCACTTGTGGTGGTGGTGGTGGTGGTGGTGGTGGTCTCGCAATATCACGGACTAGACGAAACCAAAGGACATCCTTGGACAGTGACAGCGGGGTTCAGCTTCGCCAGATTCGCTACAACGATAAACAGCAGCAGCAGCACCAACAGCAGCAACAGCAACAGCAACAGCAACAACAATTGTCTTCTGGTCAGCAACCGACGAATCCCATGAATAACATCAGTCTCGACTCAGAGCTATCGATAATCCAACACAAACTACAAAACAACCTCCAGAGTCTCCAAATAACTACATCAACATCCAAGTATTTATCAACATCTGACTTATCTTATCAGCAACAACAGCAACAGCAGCACCAACATCAGCAGCAACATCAATTAATGTCCTCGAATAATTCGAGCGACCTGCAGGGCAAACCAAAGTGCCCAGAGTGCGGAAAAATTTACTCTAACAACTCAAATCTTAAACAACACATTGTTAATGTTCATACTGTACAAACGGCTTATATATCATGCCATGTATGCCAAAAACAATTTAAAACCAAGCAATATTTACAAATACATTTATTGTCGATGCACGGAATAAGGAAGAGAAATAGATATCCGGTGTATCAAGGCCCGGATGGTACGCAAGCGCTTAATTCTTTGCTGAATTCATCAAGTGCGCAGATTCATTCACCGCATCAGCAGTACGGCAATGAGAATGGCTGAACAAAATAATAATAATAATAATAATAATAATAATAATAATAATAAAAAAAAAAAAAGAATTAACATTTTAAATGAAAGACAGAACAAATTATTTTTTAAAGTATTTTTAAAATCTTCCAGTAGACTTTTTATTTAATAATAAGCTTGTCTTATTTTTATTAATATTTTTTTATTGAGAAATTATTTTCTTCCATGTATAGTTAGAGTTAAGGATAATTTTTTGATAAATTTATCTTACATTAGTCTAACTAATATTTAAAATATAAATATATAAATATATATTGTGAAGAAAAAATTGATAGCTGTTAATGGACATGGATCGAAGTAACTTTCCTTTTTTGTTTTTATATATTGAGAGTTTCTTTTTTCTTCAGTAGTTTTTTGTTAGTGAACCCCAAGCCAAACAAACCCTTGGTGGCTTATCCAATTTCACTGGCCGAATCTCGAGCTATCTCTAGCCCGAAACTTAATTTTATTTCGACGTAATAGCATGGACGTTTTATACCTCCTGGCCTTTTTTTTATTTCTTCTTTTATATGTAAGCGAGTGTGTGTATTTATTTTTATTTTATTTTGGTGAATATTTTTGTTGGGAAAATTTTATTACAAATATGACCACTATTTTGGTTGCTGCTGTTGTTATTCTGTGGGATATATTTATGTAGATATGGATATGTGGATGCGTGGTCTTTAAAAGTTATGGGATGCGTACCAGGGTCCCTATTTACCCTTAGGTTAGATTTGTCAATAAAAGGGAAACGTGACTTTAGAGATTCGTATTGAGGAGGGAGTTCTAGATTAGGACCATCTATCACTTTGAAATAGAATCGTGATAAGGCTTATGGCGGTTGTGATTCGTTTATACGTTTACTGTTTCGATCAATTCTTTGTTTTTATTTTTATTTTTAAATTTCAACCACTTATAATTTTTATTTTTATTATTAAAGTTATTATTATTGTTATTATTATTTACTCTAAATCAGAGTATTTATGTTGATGATTGATCAGCGTACAGTTGTAGCGTTTAAAATTAAGCGAGTGCAGCGTAGAAAATTTACCCACAAGATTGATTAAGGTCTCGTCCCCTTTTTGGGAGAACCCTGGGGTGCAAATAGACTCTGCCACTATTTAATGCCACTAGGTACAAAAATGAAACTAGTATATATAAATATATAGTAAAGAAGAAAATTTCTTAAGCAGTATACAGTGCCAGAGCAATATTAAAGACGTGACCAGACATAAAAGATTATTCTATATAGTATAACCTTCCGCTAGAATTGTCAGCTTCCAGATGACGTCTTTTCTGCACTTCAACAATGCTTCGGATAATTTTTTTCTGTCACTTTTTATTGTACTTAGCTCGGTAAAAAGTTATTAAATAATTATGCGTGAGCCTTTACAATTTTTTTTTTTTGAAAATTATTTAAATTTACTCCAGATGATGATAAGTTTTTTTTCCACAACTGCATTGTTAAAAATAGTGAAGAAAATTTAAAATTATTTAAATTTTGCATTAAAATTTAACACTCGTGAAAAATTATAGAGAGTCTGAAAAAAATTTTATTTTAATTTTTTATATTTTTTTATAATTAAAAAGAAGAAATAAAGATCTAACAATATTTTTATTTCTTCTTTTAAATTAAATAAATTAATAAATAAAGCAATTAATTTAAACTTTATTGAAGAAACATATATTATTTATGAAGTATAGAATAAAAAAAGCTTAGGAATATAGAATCTGGAGAATCACTTGGCAAAGCTGGGAGCAAATAGACACAAATAAAGCTTGAGGAAGTATAGAAAAGGGTACATAACATATATAGCGAAGAAAAGAGAAGAGTAGTGTAGTATCCCCGGAGGGTTCTGGTATCGATCGATCCTCAAGCAATTTCGCGGACATGTTTCGCATTGATCTACCCTCTCGAAGGTCCCTTATACATTAAGCCATCCCTTTCGTTTCTCATTCTCCCCTTTCATTTGGTTTGCCACTTCCACCTTGTCTGGTTGTCTGGCGTTTTGCCGTGTACGTGTAGATACACCAAGTACACTACAAGTGGCACACCCAGCTCTTACCAATGCGTCGTAATACATTTTTTCCTCCCCATTATTCCGTGTCCTGGTCATCCAGGGTGTGGTTCAATGCCTGGCTGCTCCATTCTGCTCTCTAATAACAAACTACAGCTTATATTCACTTTTTAACCGATACTTTTATCTCTATTTTTATTTTTACATTACAATTTAATTACCAATACCGCCTATAAGTAGATCCATTAGTTTTTATATTACGCTGTACAGAGCACTCTGTACAACCTAATACGATCGATCTCCTTCGTAAATAACGCCCGCAATTCTGGCTTTGTTTTAGTCCAGACTAACACTGTAAATCTCTGATACTGTCCAGACAGTTGTTATTATTTCGCCTACTACTTTTAAATTATTGCTCTTTTTATAGAGGCAATAGTAAATTACTTTGATTGCTTTCATGCAATTTAATTCTGATTGCAATCTGCTTTTTTTTTGAGATTTTATTTATTTTTATTTAAATAGTAATTATATTTTTATGTTTTGGAGTTTTAAAAAATCTTAAATTTCAACAGAATTTTATTTATTAGCAATAAATTTTTAATTGTTTAATTTCACAATAAAAATTTAATTAAATAATTTATTTTCATTGTCATAAAAATAAAAATTTTTTATTAAAAATAAAATCTCTTAAATTTTGATATTTAATTAAAATTTAAATTTCAGACTTGAGTATTTATAAATAATTATTTCTTCTCTTACAAGTAATTTTTCACGAGTGTCAAATTTTCTTCACAATAAATTAAACATGTGTGTAAACCAAGGCACACTGTGGACCGAAATTTTTTTACACTGTAGAATAGAATGGATCAATACCAGCCTCCACACACATAGTTAGATTTTATCCTTCTTCCCGTTTTTTATTTCTTCCCTGAACTAAACTTGCAAGAGTTTAACCAAAAAAAAAGCGTAAAAAAGTGAAAGCTCGATCGATGTACTTAACAAAAACAAAGACAAAAAAGTAACTATGTAAAAAATAAAAAATAAAAGAAAGGAAAATAAATAATAAGAAGGAAATCCTACAACCGGGCATGCCCTGAGAGTACGAGAGTAGTTTTGTAGCTTAAAAACTAGGAACTAGCTTAGAGGCTAAAATAAAGGGTATAAAATTGACGGGCACATCCTGGTTGTAGGATCGGTGATGCCAATGAGGGAGGATGTCGCAATGATGGGAGTCGCCGTCACCGATCACGAGACATCATCTTCTCAAGCGGTGGAAAATTTGGCCCGTCTGTACTCTGCCCTCCGGCACGATGACAGTAAACCCCTGTGTCGTTATTGCGGTAGAAGTTACTCCTCGCCCAGCAACCTTCGCCAGCACGTTAAAAATGTCCACTCTAACTGGCCGCCTCCCGAAACCTGGCCGCAGTGCTCCGTTTGCGGGAAACGCTGCAAAACCAAGCACTATCTGATCAATCATCAGTTGCAAGCTCACGGGATTCATCAGCGACCTACTGTTAATAATCCCCAGCAGCAGTCGGGGTCATGAGACTCGATTCTCATTATTAATAATATAATTGTCATAATAATAATAATAACGATAATAATAATAATAATATTAATATTTATAATAATAACGAGTATGATAAAGATAAAGCTAAAGATTATTATAAAATCAAATTAATTCATTGAAGAATTATGGGTTCAAGTTAAGAATATCCTCGACAAAAATATTATTATCATGTGATAAAATTTTTATGTAATTTATTTTATTTAAGAGAAGAAATTTTAGATAAATTTATTGTTTTTATAATTAAGAAGAAATATTTCTAATATTTTAGTTTAAAAATTTTATTATTTCAAATCAAGTAAATTTTTTTTATCAGTCTACTTATATTATTAATTTTTTTTTAGAGAAAGAAATTCTGTATAAATTATTAAAAATATAATTTTGATTAATAATTTATACAAAAAAAGTATTTCTTCCTGAATTTAAATCAATTAATTAATTTTTAATATCAAGAACAAAATAAAATAATAAAAATAAGTGAAGTTTTTAGTGATAATTACCGATAGTTGTTTTTGTCTGGGATATTCTGACCGAAAACCAAATTAAAATCAAAACCGAAATCATTGACTCGACTCTTATCATTTATAAAAAAAAAAAAACAAAAAAAACAAAAAAAACAAAAAAAAAACAAAGAAATTCCTCGTCTAGGCCTACTGTAAGGTACCGAGATCGCATGGCCTCCCTTATGCATTACTTAAATTAATAATAAATAAATAAATAAATAAAAAAATGAGAAGAAAATGGACGACAGCTGGTGGTAACATTGGTGTGGTGGTGGTTGCAGATAACAGACAAAGACGTAAAGATGGACCACCAGGACCAGGTGGGGGTGGTGGTGGAGGAAGAAGAGTTGGTGGAGGTGTCTTAACTTCTACATCAGCAGCAGCCTCCTCTACTGCTTACCACCACCACGATGATAGGATGTTACGGGTAATCAAGGTCGAGGAGATCGATGTCGAGGAAGACTATGAGGACCCGGTCTACCCAGCGGAAGACTCCGAGGACGAGAAGGAGGAAGACGAGGAGGATGACGAGCCTAAACAAATGGTAACTTGCTCTTCAATTTCTTCTACTGCACGACAACACCAGCTGACAAGGGTCCCGAACCCCCAGTACCAGAGGCCGCCGCTCAAACGCTCTCAGCCCCAGCATCACCGACGCAATCTCATCCAGTGTCCGCTCTGCGTCCGGTCTTACTATGATATCGCGGACATGCGAGCCCATCTCGACCATCATTACCCCAGAGACTCGCCCACCTGTCCGGTCGTCTCGTGCGCCAAGACTTTTTCCCACCCCAACAGTGTTAGAAATCATATGAGGGTTAAACACGCCGAACAGTGGGACAAAATAAAGACACTTAGGTGGACTTATGTCTAATTTTCTCTTTTTACCGGCTGTAAAAAATTTTTCCCATCCAACCGGCTTTTTTTTATTTTTATTTTAAGAATGTCTAAATGAAAATTTATGCTTAAGATTTGAGAAATTGTAAGAAGTCATTTTTTTTTTTTTTTTTTTTAAGTTTCTGTAAAATAGATTTTTTTGAATGAAAAAAAAATTAATTTGATAAGAGAGATTTTTTGAATTAAAAAATTAATATTTATTCTCTAAAATCAAGTTATTTTTTTTATCTAAGCATTTTTTATATTCAGACTGAATTTAAAAGTCTACACCGTTTGTTTACACCAAATTAATAATGTAAAATTTTAGGTAAAAGTTACCTCCAATTTTTTACAGTATACTGTTGTTAATATTATTAATTTAATAATAATTAATAATATATATTATGATCTATTGTTGATAAACGCACATCTATTATTTGAAATTATTAATTATTAATTATTATTATTATTATTATTATTATTATTATTATTATGTAAATAATTAATAATTCCGAGGTATTTTTTGTGCAGGATAACTTTTATACCGAGTGAACATTTTTAAGTTTTTTTTTTTATTTTCATTTTTGAGTTATTTTTTTGTACATAATTGTAACGCGCAGTATTTAAGTAACCATTTATTTTATATTTAAAAAAAAATTACACTGGAATGTATAATTTAAGTTTGAACTTGATAATTATTATTTTTTATTAAAGACAATTGAACGTACACGCTAATTGATGTTAAAAAGCATCCAATGCAATAGAATTTTTTATTTTAATTTTTATTTTTTCAAGATGACCATAATCAAATACAATAGTCATTCAATACAATAAAATAAAGCTAATAAAAAAAGATCCAGCGTTATTTTTCTACGAGATTTTTGCAATTAAAGTAAAAAAAAAAATTTATTGAACAAAGATATGAAGTAAAGTTTAAAATAAAATAATTGTAATTGTAATTATCAATGTATAATTATTAATAAAATAAGAACAGGCTTGTAGATTGTAATTACAGTCACTGATAATTGTGTTATTACTTTAAAAAAAAAAGATAAATTATGTAAAAATAGGTAATTATTTTCCAAAAAAATGTTATGAGAGATGAAAACAATTCAACAATGTATAAAATTTTAAAATAAAAAACAAAATATATATATACAATTGTTTAATTTAATGCTTTTCGATGAGAATTGTTTGGTGAGAGATTATTTTTTTTATATTAACAATCATTTTTTTTTATCCATAGACAAAAACATTAATTGCCATTTATAATTAAAATATTGAATGCATCAGCGAGAAAATTTTAATTAAAAAAATTATTTATCCGCTGATGCATTTAATAATTATCCAATTAAATAAAACCATCAAACATTTAACAAAAACTAAATCTTTCAGTTGCAAGACGTGGTTTGGACATGATGCGGGTACGAGCGACAGATCCGCGACCATGCCCGAAGTGCGGTAAAATATACAGATCCGCCCACACGCTGAGGACCCACTTGGAGGACAAGCACACCGTGTGTCCAGGCTACCGGTGTGTTTTGTGCGGAACAGTCGCCAAGTCCCGGAACTCCCTGCACTCGCACATGTCACGCCAGCACCGCGGAATCAGTACCAAGGACCTGCCAGTGTTACCAATGCCGAGCCCGTTCGATCCCGAGCTGGCCTCGCGACTGCTCGCCAAAGCCGGGGTGAAGGTGAGTCCCGCGGAGCTGAGAGCCCGCGCAAGTCCAACTGGCCCACGACGAAGTGACATGCGTCTTGAGTTGCCCAGGGGGGCTCCGTCAGAAGCCGGGAGCTCCGTCTGCGGGGGCGACGACCCGGAAGACCTGACCCTACCGCTGAGCCTGAGGTACGGCTCGCCGACTCCGAACAACAACACGGTGATCACCAAGATCAACCAGCAGAGCAAAGCAGCCACCGCGATAGCTGCCAAGTCCGCGATCGAGGGCCTGATGCACGCCCACAGTCGCGAGCCCAACACTGCGCCTTTGCACCCTGCAGGGCTGCCTCTCACGCCCAACCACCACCAGTCGATCCTCGACACGTACTTGCAGTATTTCGCGGAGAACAGTTTGAATCCCTTCACGATAAACGCCGCAGCGGTTCGCGCGAAAATGGCCATGTCTGGAGCCATCGACGCGTTCGGACGCGGTGCTTCTGATGACTATCCCATGATCGGCCGCGACGAAGGCAGACCTGGTGTTGTCATGGACGACAGGAATGATCACCAAGACAGAGACCGCACTGTCGATGATGAGGAGGCCGAGTCTTCTCATGCCGAGGACGACGAGTTCAGCGATAATGACGAACCAGAAGCTCTCAAAGCCGAGTAATTATACTCACTCAACTACCAATCGATTATTTTATTTGATTATGAAGTACCCAGGTACTTTTACCAGTCTAAAAGGCTCTACCGACAGGATCCATCCTCTACCTCATAGTTAATAGACTTTTGTTGCTTTTTTTTACTAATATTAATTAATGGTTTTTAGAGTCAGTGCTATGCCATCAGTTGTCTTACTCAGAGTATAAAAGTTTGTATTCATATACAATTTTTTTTATTTTTAAAAAGATGATTTTTTATTAAAGTTACAAAGAGTTGTTGTCAATTGGCCAGATAATATTTTTAATTTTTAAGCTAAAAAAATTGTTTTTTTTTTTTTTTTTTTTTTTTTTCTAAAACTATAAAGTTTTTAAAAGAATTGTAATTTAATTATTGAAATTTTTAGTTTCAAAGATTTTACAAAATTTTCTAATTTGATTTTTATTTCTAGAAGTTGAAATGATATTATTTAAAATTTTGAACTTTTATTAAGATTATTAATTCTGACTAATTGACAGCAATTCAAAAGGAAAGATGATCTCCGAAAGATTATAACAAGGTTATGCTCGTATCGACAAAAAGGTATTTTGATTTTTAAATACGATAAAACTATTCCATCCGTCTACCTCAGTGCAGATAATAGAACAATAGGTACTATAGAATTATTATAACAAAAGTTTTATTAAATCCATTCTTTGTTAAAAAGAATTTCTTCTTTCAAGATATAAGTATTGCAATTTTTAAATTGCGGACTTACGTATACAGTTAATTTTTTTTTATGGGATAGGGTTTTTTTTTTAATAAGCCGTCCGGGTTCGTAAATGACACATATTATTATTGATAATAATGATAATATTATTGATAATTGAATGCGAGATTAATGTACTTTAAAAAGAAAAAGTACTTAAGTTTTAATTTTCTTTACCTTGGTTTTAATTACATAGTAAGTAATACTATATTAACTGTTGATAAATATGTATAGTTTCATTTTTTAGATAATGATAATTTTTTTTTTTAAGAAGTTAATTGAATTATTTTAATAATCAGAATCAAAAATTGTTTTCTTTATGGCTCAAAGTAATGTTTTTTAGAAAAATTTATTATTATTTAATTTTTAAATTACATATTAATAATATTTTTGGTTTAAATTAATATTTTAATGTTAATTGATTGAATAATCTCGCAATTTATTATTTTTAACCGCGACAAACGTGAATAATTCTTGCCATATTAAACATGCGACCGTGAAGAAATACGGTATTAAATATTTTATATTTAACGGTGGTAATAAACAATTAATTGAATTTTATTTAGGTACGCTTGTCGCAAAGAACAAAATCATTAGGATAAATATATATATATATATATATATATATATATATATATATATATATATATAT